GAATATTACCCAGGACTCTCCATAAAGGTTGTACCAATTTATACTCCCACTCACAGGTATCAGATTTCCTGTTTCCCCAGAACTCTTAGCACATTTAAGCAAGAGAAAAAAAGGGGAGGGTTACAGAAGAAAGTGTTACCTAGGACCATATCCTGTGCATCATTCCACCTGACCGCTTAGAAAGAGCCTAGCTAAGGTGGCCTGACCTTTTGTTGGGACACAATTGGGAAAGTGGCAGGTCTCACTAGAGGTAGTGACACACCCCTGGCCACCCCAACACACCTTCCCCATTTAACTGGTTCTCAGTTTAGCATCAGGGACCAGCCCCAACTCTGATTGACCTGCTCAGGGTGGTAACCGGAAAGTTAAACAACTTTGGTTTTTGTGGAGGCTGACAAGTTGTTCTCCAGCCAAACAAGCTACTTCAGAGCTGGTCTCACAAAGTTCTCTATATAAATGAACTGGCTCTGAAAGCAGCTGGCTTCGTTGATAAGCAGTTTCCAAAAGATCCAGAAAACACTTCAGAGTTTTCCACTGACCTACACTATCAACAAACTTTTAGAGCACCTTGAATAAATGCCCCCAGTTCCAACCTAGTGGGGCAACATTTCCTTTAAAGAATTCATTTGGGTTACATGGAGTGATACATTGTGTGTGTTTCATTTCGTTAGATTGTTATGGTCATAAACTTAAAGTGATTCAAAATTTTTGAGATCATTTGAGAATATCATTAATTACTTATTTCTCCATTGTACAAAATAATTGTTATTTCATAGTAAAATATATTTTTCTAACCATTCCAGTAACCTTTACTACCATGATATATGTATGTATATGTATATGTATATATGTGTGTGTGTATAAATATTTTAAGGAATATATTTCAGCCTTAAAAGTATCCACAAGCATTAACTGATACAAAAATCAGCTTTATTGTGGCATGATAAAAACTCCCATTTAAACAGTGTTTTGCCACCACCATGACTGGATTCTTCAGGAGGAGACAGCTGCATCATTTAGCCACAACTATGACACAGGCTCACACAGATCCCAACTCTTGAAGTGCAAGAACCCTGCATAGTTCCCCTGGCAGGTGGCAAGGCAGCCTCTTCTATGGTGCTCCCAGTGCTCGGGAGTTTATGACAAAGACAAACATGTCCCATACTGCATTTCCAAACAACCCCAATCATCTCTGAGAGTCCTTCTCAAACCTACTATCTGCTCACCTCAAGCAGCACAAAGTCAAAAGGTCACAGGCATTCAGGAGAGAGAGGCTTTTCGACGTTCGTACACAGTTACGCTGTCTTGCCCTTATCCAGCCCCTACGAGCCTTACTTCCTCCATGGGTTCCCCAAAGTTTCCAGAAACCTCTCCCATCCCACCCAACCCTCCCAGAGACTCTGTAGTTTCTTTTCTTTTTTTTTTTGGCTGGGGCTGGGTTTGAACCCACCACCTCCAGTATATGGGGCTGGCGCCCTACCCCTTGTGCCACAGCCAGCGCCCCTCTAGTTTCTTTCTTAAGGGACGCAAGTAGCTCTTCTGTGTGGTTTGACCAAGGCAGGGCAGAGTCCTGGGCAATTTCCTCCAAGATCTCTCCTCAAATATTTGCTAAGTGCCCAGCATGTGCCAGGTACTTACTATGAGTAAGATTCTGAACCTGCCCTCAGTAAGGTCACATAATTCCATGAACGCAGCCTAATTAACAATTTCAACAGTTATTTCAGGGTCATGGCTCATACTGAAATTGGAATGAATTGAAGTTCACATACAATGCACCCAGGGCAGAATAACTTCTTCCAACCTAAGTTCAGGGCTTTTACAGATGTCCTTGTTAGCTTGTATTATTTTGATTTTTGCTTTATCCTAATGACCAATATAAGAACTCTAGCAAGATATTAGCTATTATTAATACTAGAGCAGTTCATATTTCATAGAAAAATAAAAATGTCCTTGTATTTCTCCTCATTGAAATTAAAAATAGTTTCTGAGTTAAGGGTGAATTAGTCTTATGGTTCAACCGATGGGGATAAATGCATTATTAATACAAAAGCCAGACTGCGTTGTATTATTTTGTGGTACTGTACAGTGTATGCATAAATTAGGGAATATCTTCTCCTTTTATTTATGTATTTATTTATTTATTGGTTGGGGTTGGGTTTGAACCCGCCACCTCCGGCATATGGGGCCAGTGCCCTACCCCTTTGAGCCACAGGCGCTGCCCATCTCTCCCTTTTTATTTTTTAACTACTGTCTTTTTTTTCCTGGAAAACTCCCACTCACTTTTCAAAACCAATGTGGATGGCACCACCTAGGTGAAGACTTAGAGTCTCCCACTTAGGTGAAAACTCACAGAGTCTCACACAGAGGAAAGAACTATCTCTTTCGCCCCCTTCCCTCTCCATTCATGACCAAACCGCAACAAGTCATTTACCCATTTTCAATTTAGGTGTCTGGCCATCTCTGTCCTTTGGGGACTATCCTAGGTCTAGCACTAAAAATCCCAAGCCCTTAGAGACACCTCAGTCCTTGACAAGCCAGAAAAAAAATGGTCACTCTACATGACAGGGAGTGACTTTAATAAAATAGCCATCTTTTATAAAGAGCCAAAGCCAAATACTTCACAAATAATCTTTGAATTTAAGACAAACAGTACAAGTAGTTATGATGATACTATCATGCAGAAAAAGGGGTGACCCAAGATCACATGGACACCTGGAATTGAATCTAGGTTTGCCCAACTTTAAAAGCCTGTGCTCTCACCACCACACCCTCTGGCCATTCTAGGGCTCAGTGGTCACTCGTCACAGAGAGCTGGAATCAGTTCTCATCACCCTTCCGTCCCCAGGGTCAGATGGCATGTGGTACCGGTCCTGCTGAAGGGATCAGGCATTTACAGGGACCCATGGATGGGAAAACACGTCAGACGCACATTTGTAAGCGCTGCTTTTAACTTAGGTTGTTTTTATGGAAGTGTCACTTGCCAACCATGCTGAAGATCTGCTCACCAACAAACTCAACATGCCTCGTGTTCCCTCACAGCACCTCTCAGGACTTGGCTATTTAAAACGCTGGGTTGCGTGTAGATGGGAAAATTCACTCGCTAGATCAGACCCCAACGCTGTCTTCAGGTGGGACTTCACCAGCTGGTGGGGCCAGGGGCCCAGAGCAGAGAGATAGCAGTTCTTAGCAAGGAGATGCTCCCTGGAGGCCAGGTTGCCATTTGTTGACACTAGAATTTGTCACCAAATTCAACAACACCCACCTGCATGGTATGACTTACACTTTAAAATCTAAATTCTCACCGTGTGCATCCTCACGGTGTCATTTTTGGGGGCGGGGGGCGGGGAAGGGGTGTTTTCACACTGCTGTGGTTGTAACTCTGACGACCAGAAAGTACCCTCCATCTTTGGATTCAGAACTTCTCTCTTTTCCTTAACCAAACACCAAATGCTTAGTCCAAGATCGTCGGGATTACAAAGCAAACTCCTCTTCCCTGCCCCCAAATTAAAAAAAGTGGAGCTTTGGGGACCCTTTCTCCCCATTTTAAGTCAAAGGCCTCAGAGGGAGTTCTGGAGGGGACCCAGGGATTTTGAGGCGGAGCCAAAGCGTCAGGCCAGCACTCCCACCTCCAGGCGACATTGTATGGAGATGCCTCGGGCGCTATCTCACAAGGCCGCGCTGGGCCGGGGCCTCCTCCCTGCCGACTGCTGTCTGGCTCCCCTGCGAGGGGGAGGAGGGCACCAGGAGCCAGAGCCGCAGACCCAGTCTCGGCGCCACTTCCATGGTTAATCAGTTTACCCGGGATGTGTATTTGGCTGGACCCCTTGGGAGACCTTCCTTGGCCACCCAGGGCTAAAGGATAATTTAAAAGCTCTTCAAAGCCTGGACCCTTCTCCAAGCCGTCCCAAGACTGGAAACTTGGGAGCGACAGGCTTTACTATTCAAAGTGAGAACAAATGCAAAAGGATTTAGCACTTAGTAGGTAGTCAATAAATGTTAACTTTGTTTCTTAAGCCCGAGCTTCCCCTCCTCCACAAGAGTCCGAACCCAGCCTCTGCTCCCTCCTGAAATTCCACAAGCCCAGAGTAGAGCAGTGGTGCATTTGTGGTTCCACTTGCCTTGCTCTCCCAGCCTGGAGCAATGTCTTCCCAGACTTCAGCTGATTCATCTGCGGATGGCAGAAAGTCGGACGCGTTTACATCCCTCCCAGGTCCCACGTTTGATGGAAATATTACACTGCGCCCTCACGATTGTTATTTCTAACCCGGGCCCGCGGTAGAAGAGGCGGCTCAAAGTGCAGAAGCGACGCGGGCACTTCGGGGAGCTCCTCTGGCTTTCCTGGGGTCCCGGACACTGGCGGGGTGTGTTAGGCCGTGGCCGTCAGTACGACGCCGCCACACGGGCCCGGGTCAACTCACTCCCCTTGCACCGCCTCTGCGCCCTCTCTCCTTTGTTCCTGGTGTGAGACCCCTAACAGCAAGATCGTCTGCCACGCCTGGACCCTCCAGCTGGGCCTCCAAATGGCCCCAGAAGATCTCAGGTCCAAGCCAATGTAATCGTCTTCCAGGGAGGGCTGGACGGAGGGCGCGAGCGAATGGGAGCTGAAGCCCAGGGGCCGCCGTGGCTGTCCCCCGCGGACCCCGGACCTGCCCGCTGGCTCTCCACGAGCCTGCCCCGCCCCGCGGTCACCGAGCACCTGACGCGACCCCCAGCACCGGCAGGCGGAATGGACCTGACGTCGGGGCGAGTGGAGGCCACGTTCTCCGGAGAGGGGACCTGGCCAGCCGGACCTCATTCCGCAGAGCCTGGTATCCTCGGGCTGCGACCCTCACCGCCACCACGCTGCAGCCCCACTGCTTCACTTTCCCTAGAATCTCCATGTTATCAAGCACCTTCCCCAGACCCAACACACATTTGCGAAAAATTAAACGCCCCAAACAGGGCCCGAGGTGATCTCTGTTCCCGCTCCCGCCCGCCCGAGACTCGCGCTCAGTACTCACCGAGATTGGGGTGTCGCGCGGCGGGGTTGGCCCGGCCGGGCAGGCTGTGCAAGACCGGGCTGTCGAAGGGGGTGGCGGAGGCGGCGGCGGCGGCGGCCCAGGACGCGCCCACGTCGGCCATGTAGGCCGGGTAGGGGCTGGAGTAGGACCCCGCGAAGCCGGCGCGCCCGTACTGCTCGCGGCCCGCCAACCCCGCGCTCGCCGCCCCGCCGCTGCTGTAGGCTGCGGCTTCCCGGGCAGCGGCTGCGGCTGCGGCGGCCGCCAGGGACCCCGTGGTGCCCGGGAAGGAGAAGCGCGGCGACACCGGCGGAGGGGTGTAGGCGGCTCCCTCTGCTCCCGCCTGGCTCCAGCCCGGGCTGCCCTGCTGGGTCCCGGGCCCGGCCCCCGACGGGGTAGCACCCGCGCTGCCGCCGGAGGAGGCCCCGGACGCGGCGCCCCCAGCTCCGCCCTGGAGGTAAGACAGGCCGAGCACCGAGGATGGCACCCGCGGGGTGGGCACGTAGACCGGCGAGGACGCGGCCGCGGCACTGGGCATGAAGGCCCCGGGGCCGCCGGTCTCGTAGGCGCCGGGCGGGGGGCCGTGGTTGGCGGCCATGGCCAGGCTCTGGTACATCGCCCCGGGCTCTCTTCGCCGGGGAGTCCTCGATCTCCCTCTCAGGTCAAAGAGCGAGGCGGGGAGAGAAAACGACAGCAACGTGTGTGGTAAGAGACTGTCACTGAAAACGAAGATCAAAAATCAAAGGAAAAGCCCCAAATTGTTCAAAAATGCATGCGTATTAAATCCAGCATTGAGCAAAAGATTTTAGGCTCTTGATTACTCAGGAACATCCCACATTGAAATTTTGGTTGTTCTGGAAGTGGAATCCACCCCAGGGCCTGGAGGTCCGGAGTGCCTACACGTGGCAGAGGACCCCGAGCAGAGCCTGGCTGCGGGTCCCCACTCGCGACGCTGGGAGGCCTCGTTCTCGCCTTCAGGACGCCCGCGGGCACAGAGCAGGGTCCAGCGGGCTGGCTCCTTCCTGCCTCGCTGCAGCCGCGGTCCTACAGGAGTAACGACAAAAAAGGGAGAGAGAGGTTCATCCTGGAGCTTTCAGAGTCCTCCCCCCCAAGTTTGGCGGCTTCGCCCTAGCTGCAAACGAAATCGCCACCACGCTGAGGGGACAGATTCGGAGGCCGGCAGAGCCTCGGGAAGCGGCGGCCTTTGTTTGGGAAACTTGGGGTTTCCCGGTTCTTGGGCCTTGGTTGTGATCTAGGTTAATTTTTTTTGTATTGGTCGCGGTCTGCCAGGAAGGACTTCAATTTCACCTTATTCTTCAAGCTTATTATCCCCACAGTATTAAGGCCAAAGCTTCCAGGTTTCTACGGAGTGCCTGGGACCCGTGACCTTGCCCTCGTCTCCTCTGTTCCTTACGGCTCCCCAGGCATTCCCGACCAAGACAGAACTTTACATTGGGGGGAGGACAAAGCCACACTTTATGCAGCACATCAACCTAACAAAATTTTCTTTGTAATCTTAAAAAAAAAAAAAAAACTAAAACTAGTCTAAATGTTTATAAATGAGCAAGGTTAGCTGCTAACTCTCATGAAAAGTATAGTGAAACCCCTCAGACCATGTCAAATCAGAGCAGCTACATGTTTCTTACAAATGTACACAAAGCTATATTTTAGATATTTTGAAGATCGCATTTGAGAACCAGCAAAGTGAGAGGGGTGTGCAAGGTTGCTTTAGAGAACAGCTCACAGGAGCCATAAGCAGAGTCAGAACACTGGTGGGAATGGCTGGGAAAGAACTTTGTAAAACCCTATTATACCATTTCTAACATCCTGTATTTTGATATTACCAGGTAATTTTTCTGATAAAATAAGAGCCCTGTTTTCCAAATTACCTGCTGTGCTACAGGCCCTTTTCTCTCAACTTCTCTAAGTTAAGATGCCTCTTCTCATTTTACAGGAGGGAACTGGAGTATTGGAAAGTTTTGAAACTTGTCTAAGATCAAAGTACAGTTAGAGAGGGTGGAGGAGGGGATGGGATCTGTAGGGCTCCAACTGTTTGAGGCTATCCACTGCACTCCCATTTTCTCCTTAAGAAAAGGCAGCTATTCCTCCAATGGTTTCTTTTTTAACTTAATAGTAGACTTACAAGGCTATTAATGGAACTATATGTAAGAAAAAATATATATAAGGAATCTAAGCTCTGTAGTTTAATGAATAACTTTAGAGAAATTATTTAACCTCTCTGAGCCTCAGTTTACACATCTGCAATATGAAATATTAAAGGTACCTATCTTGAGACATTATTGTAAGGATTATAAATTAATACATATATAAAGTACTTGTAAAACGCTTATAACAAGAACAAAGAATGTTTTAAATAATAGTTAACTATATTTCTAGTGCACCATAAGAAAGTTCCTCAAATGCAACATGTATCATAATAAATGATCATCTTTAGTTATTGTAAAAATTCCAGAAATAGGATCTTTAAAACATACTACATAATGCTTTTCACTGTTTTTGCAACACCACTAGTAATAATAATGGAATTAATGAAATTGTATTACAATACCCACATGATTAGTCCTAATGCTTTATTATTTATTTTTAAAACATACAATAAACTGTTGGTTTAGTGGATGTTTCATGCTAGCACATTTGGTTAGAGAATGGACACAAAAATATTGACCCAAGATCTCCAACTTTTCCCTTTGAAAATAAAGGCAAAAAAATTAATACCTCCTAGTCATCATCTCTGAGCTTCAACAAGTAAACACATAGGTTTACCTTAATAAAATATCCAATATTTAACGTTTAAATCAGGTCGTTGACCTGAATTTCATTGTAATTTTTTGTAATTCTCAACTCTTGCTGTTTTAAAAGATAATGTTGTGGGATTTTTTTTCCCCATAATGTAATTTCAAGAAAGAAACGACACTTAGAATTTTGTAATCCAACCTCCAGTGTACATACTGGCACTAACTTGAAGGATTTAAAAGGTAAATGCTAACAATATTATAAACTCAACGCTTATTCTTCATTCTCTGCCTGTTCACATGACTGATACATTACCTCAGAGTTGGATCACTAACAACGGAGGGTGGGGAAAACGCCCTTCTATACCTTCCTAGGAAGACAACAAATTATTCTCTTACGAGGACTCCTCCTTGTTTCTGTAACTGGGCCTGACACTGCAGTCCATGGAGAGAGCCCGGCAAGGGTCTGGCCTGAGCCCTAGTTTCCCCTCTCCTTTAGTTCCCCATCCTAGCTCACCCCCAAATCGCAAGCAGGCCGACAGGACCTGCTTTGTGCTTTCATAATTTAACCAATAGCCCTTTCCCCAGCTGTTCTGGAGAGTGGGAGCGTTGAAAGCCCCTAAATGTTCCCAATTGTTGGCAACCATTCACAGGACGTCGCTTCCCCTTCCACTGGGGAGGGTCTTCGCTCCGTCGAGGCCTGCTATACAGAAACTGTACACCAGCCATCAAAGCGAAGCTGGCAACGGCTGGGGAGGAGACGCAGAAGTGTGGGGAGCATCGCGGCATCGCCCTAATGAATCCTTCCGTCTTTGAAAGCCCGAAATCTGCCCGTGGTTGCTTTCCTTTTCTGAGAAGCACAGGAAATACTTCTCCCAGGTCCTTGCCCAGCCGTCCTGGCCGCGCGGCCCTGCTGCCTGGGCCGGTCTACCGGCCACCAGTCCCTCGCCACCCTCTTCCCCAACCAAAAGGTCCTCTCTTCTCTCTTCCTGGCGGCAGTTCACCACCTGGGTATCCCACTCTCTCTAGAGTGACCCCTCAGCCCAAAGCCAAGAGACTTAAAGTCGTGGGTCGAGGCAGCTAGCCCAGGCCGGCGCGGGGACGTCACCCCTCCCCACCCGGGATCCTGCTCTGTGCTGGTTTCACCCAGAAGCAGTGTGAGTAGGTGGTTCTGTTAGCGAGAAGGCGCCAGAAAAGGCAGAAACGACTCAAAAGCCGCCCCCCTCCAGCCCTCAGGGAGTCTCCAGGGGTTCCCGAGCCCCACGCCGCACTAGGCATCCGCGGAGACACCCGGGGCGCGATACCCCTCGGCCTACCCCCTCCGTGTACACCCCTTCGCGAGCGAGCTGCGGGTGGCCTGCCCCGGGTCAGTTGGTCAGGGTGATTTCACATGGCCACCATCACTACACAGGCCCCGGCCTGCGAGGTGCAAACAAGGGCTGGAGAATCCAGGGGCAGGGATTACAAGTGTTCACAAGTGCACACAAAGAATCCAAGCGAGCTTCCATATCCCCTTCTGCTTTGCCCCAAATCTTACTTGGATTTAAGTAATGTGCTAAGGCCAGAATCAAAGGCAGACTGGATTTGGCCACATTTGGGGAGGAGTGACCGAAGTCTCTCTCCACCTTCGCTACCCTCAAACAAACTAGGAACTCCGAGTTTGGGGATCGCAGGAATGAGCAAGGAAAGCGGAGAGAAAACCCTACCTGCCGTGGCTTGAGCTTCCTGGAAACCCGCGCGCGCTGACCTGGGTGTCCCGGGAGCCGCCGCGGCGACTAAGCCTCTCGCGGCCACTGCGCGGGCCGGCTCGGAGTCCCCCAGCTCGCCTTTGCGTTCCCGGGCCGCAGCGCTCCAGCTCCCCGGCGCTGAGTGGCCGGTGCGAGTCACGTGCAAGGTCGGGGGGCGGGGGTGCGCGGCCTGGGCTGCACCTCCGCGGGGCGCCCGGCTGCTGGGCTGCTCTAAAGCTCCCCTAGCAGGCAAAGTCCAGGCTCGGGAATCTCCTCGAAAAATGCCTAGGTCTTCACCGATGCCCAGCCGAGCGCGATTCAGTTCGCTGTTTTGCCCAGGCTCAGCGTTACTGAGAAGTTCCTTCTCTTCTCCTCCCCCTACAGCACCCCTACGCAGTCCCTGTCCAGCTTCGATGGGCGAGGGGCGGAGCTAACAGAGGGGAAGGTGACCTCTTGGATTCAACTCCCGATTGTGCGTGGGGCATTGGGTCATCCCGGGTGCTCCGCTGGCTGCAGGCTACCGGGTAGCGGGGATCACCCCCACCCCCGAGGCCAGGCTGCGGGAGGTTGGGGAGACCTAGACTGGCTCCTAAAATCTGAGCGCGGACACCCACTTACGCCTTTTGCCCTCTCAGCGACACAGGCATCTCCCAAGGCGCCCGGAGCCCGCTTCAGCCCTCAGTCTGGTGTATTTTTATGCAAACGCACACTCCTTCCTGGGACGCTTCCCATCTCCTGCGGACTCGTCCCTACTAATCTTTCCCGGTGTTCCCAGCAGCCTGCGGCAGACGCTGCACCAATTCCAGGAACGCAGCGAGGGCTGGGGGGCCCCGGCAGTCCAGGGGAGCCTCTCGGTGGAGAGGAGGGCTCTTCCGGGGGCTGTAGTCCCCTCCCAGGAGTAAGGGCTGGGAGGGCGTCAGGTCAGAGCCTTGGGGACCCCCGCGCAGCTGGGCTGAGAGCTGGAGAGTACCTCAGACAGGTCTAAAGGTTAATAGAGCAATCACAGAGCCCTATTACCGGGTAAAAATAACCCATCGATTACCACAGCCTTCAGCCCTAGATAACAGCCGGCGGGTGGCTCTCACCCTTTCGGTTAAACTTTTTTTTTTTTAAAGGCCCAGTTTTTCTCTCGTAGCACAGATTTCTGATACCAGATTAGAGGGATGGGGAGGGGGCCGAATACCACCCTGAGTGAAACCTATACGACCGGGAAAGACGTCCAGGGATACCCGCTTCCGCAGCTGGAAACCGGTGGTGGACTCCCTATCCGGCAGGAGGGCAACCCAGGTGCTAAGGACGAAGTTGGGACGCGGGGCTGATTGGAAGGAAACCCCCCGTGGGATCTCGGCCAACTCCTGGGGATTCTCAGGAAAATCCCGGAGGAATAGCTAAGCGCAGCTGCGCGGGGAATTCTCTTCCCTGAACGAGACCGAGATGTGCGGAGGTCCACAGGGCCCAAGCAGGGAAGAAAAAATTGAGGTGGCTCAGGGCGAAAGCCCAAGGCCTGAGCGCCCCTGGACGCACCCAAACCATCCCAGACTGCCGCCCGCTTGAACCCTTCGACGCCCTGCAGCTGGGGGCGGCATGCTTAGGGTCCAGTCTCTGGATTCCCCTAACTTGCAGCCCAAGCCCCAGCAGAATTTGGCGCCACGGACCCTAGGCCAGGGAACTTAGGAGTAAGGATGTTCCGGGGATATCGAGGCTGGCGCTGGAGCAAAGCTATTTGGTCTCGGAGCACCCTCCGATCTGAGCACCTTAAGACGCGGCAGGGGGCTCGGCGACTATAGCTCAACCGGCTAAGGCGCCAGCCACGTACACCTAAGGTGGCGGGTTCGAATCCCCAGCCCGGACCCGCCAAACAACAATGAC